AGAGAGAGAGAGAGAGAGAGAGAGAGGGGGAAGGGGGAGAGAACGGGGGGAGAGAGGGTAAAGGCGGAGGGAATGCGAGAGAGGGAATGACTCTGTAGATAGATAGACAGATAGATAGGGAGGGGGAGGAGCTGGAGTGAGCGAGAGAGAGAGATAAAGAGAGAGGGAGAGAGAGGGGAAGGGAGAGTGAGAGAGAGAAAGAGTGCAGAAAGGACACGACAAAAATCTCAAACGCTTGAGTTGCGAAGAAAATGAGAGGGGAAGAACAAGGCGACAAATGATCGAAAGAGTAAGGGTAAAAGGGTGAGTGAAAAGGGGGGGGGGGTGTTAGGTTAAGGGAAATAGAGGGAAAACGGCTGAAAGAAAAAGGTATGGAGAAAAAACTAGGGTTCGTTACACAACAGTGGAAAGTGGAGCTTTCGTGCGGGAGAGAGTTGGGGCAGGGGCGAAGGTGGGATTTAAATCTGTGCGGTCTGATAGTCGGGTAAAGCACACTGGTGTTTTGGGTGGTGGGTTGGCACCTCACTGAATGCTGGTGGTCTGTGGGTGGTGGGATGAAGTGGGCGGTGGCTGGTGGGCTGAAGAGGTTGGTGGGCTAAAGTTAAAGTGGGGGGGGGGTTGGTGGGCGTTGGTTGGTAGTCTAAAGGGGGCGGTGGTTAGCGGGCGATTGCTGGTGGGATAAAGTGGGCGATGAGTCGAAAACGGACTGAATGGACGTAGTTGGTTTATGGACTAAAGTGGGCTGTGGGCTGAACAGGGCTGAAGTGGGCGGTGGGTGGTGATTAGTGGTTGGGGGGCGGTAGGCGATGGTTTGTGGGCGGTGGTTGGTGGGCGGTGGTCGGTAGTTGGTGGTGGGTGGTCCAATCCCTAGGGTTCCAAAAGATCGTCACAAGTGAGTGTGAGGCAAAAGCGCAGTCCTCAAATCCGAACACAAAGTCTTGAACAGTTTCGATGAACACAAACTGCTGAGTGGGTACAATATTATGTGTCCTGTGCGTTGGCTGCGTTTTTTGTACTGTCAAGTCAAATAGGAGCACACAATGATGATGATGATAGGATAATATTTGCTGATGCTGGGGCAAACACTTCTGACCTTTCCAAACAACTGTCCTACTGTCTCTTTCTCTGTTTCTGTCTGTCTCTCTCTGTCTGTTTCTCTCTCTCTCTCTCTCTCTCTCTCTCTCTCTCTCTCTCTCTCTCTCTTTCTCTCTCTTCCACACCTTGATCTCAGCACCAGCCAAGCAGAACCCGGCTGAGAGCCCACGCAC